TTATTGCTCGTCTCAAGAATCATGTTGGTGTTCAGGGCTTAGCCTTAAAATGGTTCTCTTCTTATCTGAAGGATAGGACTTTTTCAGTCAGTTTAGGTGATTACTCTTCTTCTACTGCTCCTCTTGTCTGTGGGGTTCCTCAGGGCTCTATTCTGGGACCAATTTTATTTTCTCTGTATATGTTGCCATTGAGTTTTATTTTTGAAAAATTTGGGATTCATTATCACTTGTATGCGGATGATTCACAAATTTACTTACCATTGAAACAGGACCATAAATGTGCTTTGCAGTCTCTGCATCAATGTCTGACAGAGGTTAAGTGCTGGTTGGCAAATAATTTTCTTCAATTGAATGAAGATAAGACAGAGATGATTTTATTTGGTAATAAGGGTTATGTTAATGATATCTATGACTGCCTGGGGCAGTTTCCTGGGAAGAAACTGTCCTGTGTAAAAAACCTTGGTGTCATCTTTGACTCTGAGCTCAAATTTGACCGACAAATTAATGCTGTTGTTAAAAATAGCTTTTTCCATCTAAGGTCAATATCTAAGCTGAAGTCCATCCTCTCTTTTGAAGATATGGAGAAGGTTGTTCATGCTTTTGTGTCATCTCGTTTGGACTATTGTAATGTGTTGTATCTGGGTTTGAATCAGCTCTCTCTCTCTCGTTTGCAGCTTGTTCAGAACTCAGCTGCCAGACTTTTAACAAGTACAAAGGGGAGAGAGCATATTACTCCTGTGTTAATCAAACTGCATTGGTTACCTGTACGATACAGAATTCATTTCAAAGCGTTGCTGTATGTTTATAAGGCTGTGCATGGTCTATCACCTGACTATGTTACTAATTTAATTAGGGTCTGTCAATCCAGCAGATCTCTGCGCTCAAATGATCAACTACTCCTAATGGTTCCGCAATCTCGTCTAAAATGTAGAGGGGATCGTGCTTTCTCTGTGGCAGCTCCTAGGCTCTGGAATGCCCTTCCTCTGTCTATTAAATCTTCTCCAACTTAGGGTGTTTTTCAGAGTGCGCTTAAAACTCTTTTGTTTTCTCTAGCGTTTGACAATGCTTTTTAGCTGTGTATGTTATTTGTTGGTATTCATTTTTTTTCTTTTTTCTTATCTTTCTCTGTACAGCACTTTGGTTCCAGTCGTGGTGTTGAAAGTGCTTTATAAATAAAGTTTGAGTTTAGTTGAGTTAATTATCAGTATATTTAATTATAAAAAATAATTAAATTGTGCATAACAAATCTCAAAATGAATATCCATTTTCATACTGTATATAACGTTTGATGGCTAAATTCAGTTGTAGCATTTAAAAGGACTGATTTTCCAGATTTTAGTGTTTTATTTGTTATTTCTTCAGACAATATATTATAAGAATTTAATATTGGCCATAGCATTAAAATAATTATCAAGCTGTGATTTGAATTGTTTATATGCACTCAGCCCTCTTAATTTCTGAATATCCTTATAAACATTTTATATTAGGGCTTAATCTCTCTATATTAATGCTGGCTGTGTCTATTTGTTGACTCCAGGTCTCTGTCTTTGAAAATGACATCTACTACAAGCCAGATGTTTTTAGCAAAGCGATGCGTCTGACAGCCACGGGCAGAAACGGAATGGTGGTTAATGGACTGTCTGATTGGACCTATGAGGGTCAGTGATCTCGGACGTGTTGTCCCCTTCAAAACACTCTCACTGCAGTCCATCAATCTAATGAGTAGCCTTAATTTTATGTTTCCTTGAGACAATTTTGACAACCCCTTGAAGACATTGCAGTATTCACGAAGAGACTATTATCTCATTTGGTCTCATAAATACAAAATGAGATGGGTAAATGAGATTTATGATAATCAGCGTAGGTCTACGTATGGGTTAATTAGCCTCATCAAAATTTCATTTCTGTCTTACCTTATTAAAATGTAGAGGAGATACTGCTGAAATACCCTGCGTTCTGGTGGGCAAAAGACGGCGCGCGCCTGGCATATCTGTCTATTAACAACTCAGCAACTCCTTTTATGGAAATTCATCACTTCCTGGGCGGGATCTACCCTTCTAATTTCCTCTACCCGTATCCGAAGGTAAGAACAATGGACATGCAGCCAACTATTTTGTTTTACAAGACGAAATAACCTCAAAATGAATCCAATATCACAGTAAAAGTTTATATTGAATCATTAATGCAAATATATGCACTATTTATAGACTGCAAGAGCATTTAGTATTTGATTTGATGATGTTAAAATAATTTGCTCTGTACAGGCGGGTTCCAGAATCCCATCAGCCAGTCTGTTTGTGGTGAATTTATATGGTCCAGCACACACATTAGAGATGATTCCTCCAGACTCCCACAACAGCAGGTGAAGTTTATCTTTAATTATCGTGCGTCCACATTTGCGCAGATGCAGTGCACAGGCTATGGAAATGCCTCTTAACTGTCTATTGCATGCATTATTAAACAAAAACTTTTTTATATTGTTAAAAGCATTGCAAACCATTTGTATTAATTTCACTGTCGCAGTGTTGGTTGTAGGCAACAAACACGTTTACGCAATTCATGATATGCAAATAATTTAGGACTGAATGCTTTAAAATCAAGTTTAGTCTCTAACAAATGTGAGTTATTTTAATGGATGAACAATATGAACAACAGATGCTTTTATGAGAGAGAATTGTCTCAACATTGTGCGTAATGCCAGAATAAGTCTTCAAAATGGATGCAGTGCGACAAAAATAAAGATTTTAGTAGTTTATTCAAAGTAATTCCTTCATTATTAAACCTTTTATTGGCATTTGAAATGCATCATGCATTTGCAAACTGAAGAAAATGGGGTTGTTGCTCTGAGGCAACATTGTGCAATGGATTATTGAGAGGGGTTTGATGTTACTCACTGAAGATTTTATTACATTTGCAATGATAAAGTGTTGCAGTTAATAGTTAATTTTTTAATGATTTTCTTTTATGTTTTCCCCAACCCCCTTTAATACTTTGCACATAGTCCCATAGCAAAAATACAGCCTGCATCATCCCGGGTTTGTCGGCGTGAGCTTTCCGCATTTAGATTGTAGAATTATTGGCCATTCTTCAGCGCAAATATGCTTCTGCTCTGCCAGATTAGATGGAAACTGCCGGTGGACAGCAATTTCAGGTCTTACTGCTGATTTTCAATTGGAATCAAGTCTGGGCTCAGGCTGTGCCGCTCCAGAATACCAACCTTCTCTATTTAAAGGGTTAGTTCACCTAAAAATGAAAATTAGCCTGCGTTTTACTCACCCCCGAGGCATCCTAGGTGTATATGACTTTCTTCTTTCAGACGAATCCAGTCGGAGTTATATAAAAAATTGTCTTTGATCTTTCAAGCTGTTTAATGCCACTCAGAGGGTGTTGCATTGCTTCAGTCCAAAAGAAGT